TCACAGCCTGATCTAAGTATCCAACTTCCTAATTAGGTTTTGGATAACTTCCAAGCTCAGTGCTTGATGTCCAATTATATCTGCAGTAAAATGGCACTTAGAAGTAACTAGCACTTCCAGAAAGGAACTTCTGATGATCTGCTAGAAAAATTCAGAATCAAGACATTATAAAATACTTCAGCATCAATAAAACAGAGGAAGCCAATGAACATATTGATACAGTGCCTTCCCTGATGTTCTGTCCTCAAATTATTATAAGTGTTTGGACTTTTTTTTTACACAGAACTCTATTGTTGCTATATTGTCCTATCTTTACCTGTGCAAAAACACCCAGAAGTTTGAGTGCTTTAAAGACTTCACAACGTGGGCAGGTGCTTCTCAAGCGTCCTGTTATTTTTCAAAAATCTGTATGTATGGGTGAAATTCCAGTACATAACATGGTTGTCAACCAAGACTAGTTCTTTGCATTTCACTGGGGCAAGTTTAGATTTATACCCTGAGAACTAGGATGGGCATGTCTTTCCCCTGTCATTCTCTAAAGGGGAGATACACTGCCTTGAGGCTTGGCACATTGATGATGGTGGTGGTCCCAGCTAGAACCTTCCTTCTGGTTCCTCTCTTAGGAGAGACATAAAGTCAAACATCAGCATCATGAGTGATGACTCCAGTTCCTTCATGTCTAGATTTTGAATGTTCTGGGTCACCTTTAACCTGGATAGCTGGTAGACACCTTAAAATACAGACTCTGAACCAAATCAAGTGTCTTCAAGTCTGGGAGGGATTGCAGAATCTGAGGTTTGTCTTCTTGTTGCAGTTAGTGGCAAAACTATCTTGATTTCTGCTGGCTGTAGAGTTAGGTGAGTACTAAGCTCTGCTGAAAATGCTACACATGTATCACATCTCTGCTGTCAGAGGCACACACTGGATTTCTCTTGTGTTGTATTTCATAGTGGTGAGCATACTCAATGTGTTTCATAAATAATCTTTACTTTCAGTAAATGAGCTTTAGAGGTAAGAATCCAACTAGATTAGAGGTCATACCTTTCTCAATTGACAAATGTACTGAGCACTGAATTTTCCTGGACCAGTGCACTGCAAACTCTGAAAGGACTAACAAGAAGTAGGTCCTTAGCAGGCATATGACAGCTCTACAGTGGCTGTTTTGTACTGTGTGAAGGATCTGGTACTGCACATGGAAGTGTCATGGTGTGCAGTTTACATGTATTCTGCCACTACATGTGCCCCAGAGGGCCTGGATGATAGTGTAATATGGGGAACAAAGAGATGTTTTGAGTTACTGGGAGGGAACACACAGCATTTCTTGCAAGTGATGGAACTGTTCCTCTGCTGGGGAAGTGAGACTTTTTGCAATTGTATCTGAAACTGAAAAATCAGACAAAGGCCTTGACAGGATTGTCCACATGCCAAACAGTTGTCTTTTTCCATCTGGCTTACTTCAAGTATGTGGGGTCTCACAAAGTCACATCCTATTATTTGTCAGCCATGAATCATCATTTCTTTTAACTGGTTAAATTGAGGAGCAAGGTGCAAGAAGAATAACTCTCATTAATCAGGGCAGATGGGTTGAATTAGTGGGTCACACTTTTTTATCCTTAGCCACTGGAACTGGCTTGACAGCCAGCAGCAGTCTTATGGATCTTCTTTTTTTCCTGAAGGGAGCCATCTTCTCCTTCCCTTTGCAAGTTTTAAAGTCTTTATTGCTATGTATCATACAGGCACTGGATAAGAAAGTTTCATACCCACCATGTTGCCTGCAGTGTGGCAACTAAAGGGTAGTGGGACTTCCTGCCACGTGTGGCGTTCTCCATCTGTTACACAAAGCTCCCTCTCTTGCACCAGTGATGAGGAGAACCTGCACCGTCCGGCAGAACTTTGACAAGAGCAGCTCACTCCTGTCTGAGATAGTCTTGAACTATTTTCCTACCAGGCTGGTAGTGGAAGTGGAGATCTATAGGGATTCACCATCATCTGAATTCAGCAGTTTGGCTTTGTGTCTCTGTAGATAGTGGTCCTGCTCCTCCCACAAAAAACAAACAAACAAACAAAATCCAAACCAAAACAACAACAACAAACAAAAACCCAGTCGTTTTTTATGTGCTCAGTGGTAAATAGCTTTGTGGGAATGAAAACCAAAGAACTTTTCTGCTCCTCCTAGTGGTCTGCCAGACTGGAGTGGGGACCTTGGTGGTCTCAGCCTGACTGGTTTCTCTAGGTCAGTGCTCAAGACGAGGTGGTGGGCTTAGTTGGCCCAAAAATTGTCATGCCAGAGCAAAGAGTGAAGAAAGCAGGCTGGTTTCTAAACCTTTCCTCACCACTCCCTGGGAGATTGGGACCGCCAGAAGAGAAGGTCACATAAGGTACTTGGAATAAGCTGGGAAGTGCATATGGGGAAAGATTCTTTGTTTCTGCCACCAAAAAAAAGGTGCAGCAGCAGGTAGGGCCCTGGCAGGAGGTAAAGGAAGGGCTGTGGCCATAACCCCTCGCCAGGCTTTGTCTGCCATGCAGATTAGGTGCAGGGCTTTTCTGGCTCAGCAGTTGCTAGGTTCTTCCCTGCTATTGACTTGGTGGAGAGGCTGAGGGGGGTGGGTGGGAGGGACTGCATTACATTGTTTCTTTGAGTTGTTTTTCTCCCCCCTTCTATGGGGAGATGGGCTTGATCCTCTGGTTTTGGATTTCAGAGGCAGAAGGCAAGACATGACCAGCTGGTGTCTTGAAATGGCACAGGTGCAGTGGCTGCGGGAGGGGGGAGCCAGGAATAATTACAGGTTTGTGAAGCATCAGGCTCTGCCTGAAAAGGCTCATCGAGAAACTGCTCTTTATGGAAAATTAATGGTGAAGCTGGAAAAACTGTCAGGCCCACTATTGTTGTCATGGGGTAGTGATGCCTTAAAGGAGCAGCACCTCCTGCTCGCCTCCCCTCCACGGGCAGCCCAGAGCTGGCGTGCAGCTTTCTGATCCCACAGCGATTGAAATTTCATGTCACTGTCATCAGATTTAATGGCCTTGAGTCCTTGTCTCTTCTCCCTGCTGCTACCCTCCCCCTTTCCACCCCTAATTTGTGATTATGCTTGCTCTTTCCTTTGGAAGCCTTTTATTTATTTGGCCCCTAAACCTGTTTCTGCCCCATTGGATGAAGGCTAAGTGTACCAGAAAGCCCAAATTACATGATGTGAAGAACTCAAAAGCATTGCCTCTCCTGGTGGTGGGGGTTATTACTGAAAGACTATATAGCATATTGGAAAGCTTCTCCCAAAACCCATTAGGATTTATCTGGGGAGAGACCAGACTCCCAGCTAAAGCTGTTTCTCATGGTCCCAGAAATGCACCTTATAAAGGAAATGGAAAGGTTGCTAAGGCAAGTACAATTGATGTGTCCCACACCCTGGCCTGTGTACAGACAGTCTCATACCTCTGAATATAACATTCATGCTAAACTATAGCATGTCTCACCTGCATATATTCTGTTCTGTTGCTTTTTGTCCATCTCTACAGTTCAGATCTATAATCAGCTATTACTTAAAAAATTAACAACAGTGTGTCAGATTTTGTGGTGAACTTGAAAGTCATCTCACCACATTGTATCTGTAACCAGCAGTGCTGTTTCGTGGGAGCTTTGAAAGTAATAATCTCAAATTACCTGCCAGTTCCTAGAGAGCTGTCAGTGGGGCCTCCTTACATTCCTGTTGATGGGACCTTTGTACTCTGAAGGCAGAAGTCTCTCTCTCTCCTCTGGTCATATGAAGCTTTTATTTCTTGATCAGATGCTGGACTCTCCAGATTGAGATGTAGTTGGGTCACCAGCTCCCATAGATTAAAAATTTTTTTACTAAAACCCCTTTCTTAATATTGGTAGAAGTGTTCTCTGAGGAGCAGTTTTTGGAGGTTTCTAAAATGTATTAGTTAGAATGTCTCTTTCTCCATGTCCTATGAAATCTCAGTGGTGGTATTAAACCAGCTATCTTTTCAAGCTGCAAGAAATGAAAAACAGTTCTAATAAACTCCATTAAAAGCTCCTGAAACTACAGCAAATGGTTCTCTGTAAACAATAAAAGTTTTTAATGTTGGCTGTGGAGGACGCTGCGGCAGTGCTTTGGTGGCTGAAGGCTTTATTGGGGCAAGCTTGGGACACTTCATAATAAGGCACATTGATGTAGGAGCTTCATCCCATCCTTGTGCTGATGATCACTGCTGTGGAGGTGCAGGAGCACATTTTTATGTGGCAGCCTCTTTGACTGCAATTTCACCTACTTTTTAATAAAGGGGTGAGTGTGTGTTTGTGTGCAAGTCTAACATCCTGTACACAGGAAGCTCCATTTGACCAGATGTGCCAAAACTCCCTCTAAAACTGACAGTAGATAGTTGTTTTTTCTGTCACCTATCCTTCTCTCAGGCCCTTTAAACAAGCTGTGGTCTCACGGGAAGCTTTTCTACCTCCGATCTTAAAAAGCCACACTTTAGGATTATGTTGTTTGAGGAAGGTTAGGCCCCAGCCAACTACAGTGAGTTAAATTTGGAGAGAACGTTAATGTTTGTGAAGGAAGAGGAAGCAGTTATTTGGAGAGGTGACTTTTTTGTTTGTACATGCCAAATGATGAGTGTATTAGGATAGCTTCATATGGAAATGAAAGATTATACTTTAAGTTGGGAAGCCCCTGGTGCCTGTGGAACAATTTTAATGAAACAGATTAAACAGATTTTAATGAAAACGTAGTGGATAGTTTCTGGTTGTTGTATCTTCGCTTCTAGTGTAATACCTGCTACCATATGTGGGTATTCCCAGACTATCTCTAAGCAGCCTCAAACAAGTGTCAAATCCTCATGGTCTCCCAGTGTGTGGCTATCTCACCAGAAGATTGGTGTTGATGAGTGCTGTCTTGGAACACCTCTGGACCATGTTCTCCTGCCCTCGGTGGCAGCCGTGCTGTAACCTCTCTCTGACAGCCATTTCTCTCCCTCCCCTCTCCCTTTCCCTTCTGCAGACATGCCTGGAGTTGGAGCGATACCTTCAGACTGAGCCACGGAAGATCTCTGAGACCTTTGGTGAGGATTTGGACTGCTTCCTTCATGCCTCCTCAGCCCCGGACGCAGAGGACAATATCCGACGGCTGGACCCCATCCTTTTACCCGTGGAGACGAGTACGTGTGACAAAAGCGCCAACATGGACATTATCCTCTCCCGTGACAAACTGCTGTCTGAGACGTGCCTCAGCTCGCAGTCCACCAGCTCTTCCACAGAAGGCTACACAGCCGTCAACCAGGCCCAGCTCAATGCAGTAACCTCATTAACCCCCCCTTCCTCTCCGGAGCTCAGCCGCCACCTCGTGAAAACCCCACAGACTCTCTCAGCAGTGGATGGCACAGTGACATTGAAACTGGTAGCCAAGAAAACTTCACTCAGCTCTGTGAAAGTGGGTGTAGCAACAGCGACTGCGGGGACAATAAAAAGTGGGCAAAGTGACAGTGAGCAAGGAGGTACAGGGACAGAAGCATCCCCAGAAAACAAGAAGAGGGTTCATCGCTGTCAATTTAATGGGTGCCGGAAAGTTTATACAAAGAGCTCCCACTTAAAGGCTCACCAGAGGACTCATACAGGTACTTATGCAGGGTGCTTCTCTCATCTTGTCCTGCCACCTACCCGTAACCATCTCTTTTTATTCTCATTTAGGGAAAAAAAAAATCTCTTTTGAAAGTCCAAGTTTCTGTCTATCAAACAGGGCAGTGGAAAATATGATAGTCCAGCAAATGTACCATTATTCAGTAGAACAGAGGAGTGTTCACCATCTACCATTAACCTGTTGGGGTTTCATATGTCTTACAGGGCTTGATGCAGAGTAATTTTAGGATACTTAAGGGATGTAGATGTATCATTCATGTTAAAGCTATGTGCATGTCACTGGGTTTTTGGCACTCACTTCCCCAAGACAACTTTAAAAATGTAAAGTTTAGTGAAGTGTTATTTTCTTCAAATAGAAAATAGCGTGGGTAAGTTTTTGGTGCCATTTGTATGGGAGAAAGAGAAATGTGTTTCAGATCTTAAATATGTGGTTTAGGAATAATCTGTGCATGAGGCAGCGTGTGTATGTGCAGACATGTAGGCATGCAGAGGCACATACCCTTCAGATACTCATGATCTTGGCCTTCTGTGCTAAAATATAGTGAGAACAAATAAAAGAATGACACGGAGTTTGGATGAAATAATGTAGGTAGAGAGGGAAATGTGTGGATAGATGTGAGGCTGTTATTTTGGGTAACATTTACAAATGTTATATATATATATCTGTGTGTAAGCTGGTTGAGGCATACTGAATTGGCTTAGGCTGGCTGTTCAGATTCCCTCCTCTCATTTCTTCATGGTCCCCAGCAGCTTTTCAGCTGGTATTCATTGGCATTAATAGCTATGCAGTTCACACACGTTGCTGCTTTGTTCTAAGCTTCACACGTGATGAGAGATGATAAATTCCCATTAGCACTGTCTTATCATGTGATTATTCTTGTTTCCAGAGGGATTGCTATAATCAGTTTTCTCAATTTTACTGTAAAATGTGTGGTCTCTTACAATAACTGCACATTTAGTTCACGATCTTATCGTGCAGGCAGATTCCTAGAAGCAAGGTTGTTCTTGCAAGGTAGAAAATAACACGTTGGACCAACACAGTAAATCAGATAAATATGTGGGTTGTTAAGAGAGCTGCATCCATCACATACTAGCAGCACTGTAAAAGTTACATGGTCTGAAGTATAAATCATAGCAAGACATAAAAGGCATTGATCTTTTTATATGGGCTTTCTAGTGCTTTTACTGGGGATAGCTGCCTTGCCAGAAGTGACCTCACCTGTGATTCAGTGATTTGAAAGCCAGTGAAAGTAGTACAGTAATTTTAAAATCAGCATCAACATGGTCAGAATGTTGGTTCCTTGTAGCGCCAATGCTGCTGTGAGGGCTTCTCCCTGCTGGTGCTGGCCAGTGGGACATCCCAGCCAAGGCCTTCCAGCACATGATGGAGCTTCCATGAAACAACAAATGAAGAGTGTGCGAGCTGTTGACCCAGTGATGTTGTCTGTTCAGATATGACCCCCATGTTCGTTCTCAAGCTGGAAGTGATGGGTCTTACACAGCTTTTCCTGAGGCTATTCACGGATATGACACAATAGTGTGGAAAGGGTGAACTTGTGAAGTTTTCCTGCTGTTGTCATGCAAATGGAAATATGGAAAAGGAATCATGAGGAGGACTTACAAAAACTTATAATTTCTCAGCACCTTTACCCTTTGGTGTCAAAATCTTGTAAGAGTTTGCATGCTTTTGAATGCAGCCTTAGGCCTTGAATTTTCTGAGGCCAAAACCTTTCCTCTCTAACATTACTATATGAAATCTTACATTTTACAATTAACCCACAATGAGAAACGTTTCTCACTGGTCCTGTGATCTTTCTGTTGAATAGCCTAGGATTGTGGTGATGCCATGACGTGCTGAGCCTGCCCATCCACAGCAGTGCATGATGTGGTGAGAAAGGCATGTCTGCCTTTGCTGGCAGATAGGGAAGACCTTTATCAGATTATGAGACTGCAGCTGCCTGGGTGCAGAGCCCAGACCTCCCATTCCCAGCTCCTCACCTGGTGGGATCAGCCACTCCTCTGGTCTTGCCAGTTAAACCATCAGTGGTTTAAACAGCCCCAAATTATGGGAGTGTTTCTGTTTGCATTCACCATGTCCTGAGCAGATAGCTCAGGTTGTTAGGAAAGCAGGAAGGCAAAATCAAGAGGGAATACAAGCTTGGAGTGATGATCTCTCCTGTCCTAACAGCTGTAGCTGCCCTGCCCCTACCCATGTCCTAGCTATGCACAGCTTTGTAGAGAGCATGGTTACCCTTTGTGATGAGGACTAAATGCAGCCTTGTTAAAACACATCTTTGATGCAGGAAACCTGTCTCTCATTTTGTCTGTGGAAAGCAGGTTGTCTAAATACCTGTGAACATTTACATCCTGCCAGCAACCTGAGTAAATCGAGGGAAGGAGTGTGATAGGCTTAGCTAAACAGCTTATTTGAGTCTGGAGCACAAAGTCACTCAGACTCCTTCATACTGCTTGCATGTTCTGTTCCCTAAAAACGCGCTGACTGCTGGATGCCTTAAATGAGAGCTGGTACAATCAAGACATCTAATGTGCTCACACTGGCCTCTTCAGCGGGGTTCCCCACAGGGAGCTCCTGCCTCTGGTGGAAAACGTGGGACAGAGGGGAGTAGCTATGGATATTTGGGACTGAATTATAAATGTCAGGGCTGTGTCCTTTCCCATGCAGCCTTCAGGGCATGGGACAAGGAGCCCTTTTCTCCATGGACGCTTTGTTTTTTTCTTGCCTGAGCTGAGTGTGCTGTGGGTTGCAAATGCACCTAGCAGTGCCAATGGCTAGTAGCCACTTGGCTTGGTCAGAGGGTCTGAAATGATTGCAAGATATTTTCCTTTGGCTGGTGGTTTGTTAGTGTGTCATGCGAGAGCAGCGTGCCAGTGTGGGCTCTGTGGAAGGGGTGTGAGCGCCCGGCAGACAAAGAGCTCCCAGTGCGGGGTTCACAGGCAGAGAGGCAGATGTGGGCTGGTCACTCAGCTTGCATGTGCAAAGTCCACTTGCTGGATCAAAGGGATTTACTGCAGGGCATGAAAACAAGAAACCTTGGGCTGGGGAGCGGGTGGGGGGTGGAAGGCGGCGGAAGGAGGCTGCATTCCTTTCATTCATATGTAAGGCTGACCAGACAGACGCTGGCTGCTGTTCCTGCTGCTGCGTGATGAGCCAGGCTGGGCTGCAGGCAATGCAGGCTGATAGCAGTTTGCTAGATTGGGAACAATCCTCTCTCGGGGTTTTACTTTGCTGAGAAGCCCAGGGACCATCAAACCCCACATTTCACATTTCACTTGGTGCATCTTCCACGTTACTGTCCCACATCTCATCTGTAAGAGAATCAGGACAGCACTATAAGGACCATCAGTGGTCGAACTGGTTATGAAACCACCTTCTGGATGACCTTTGGAGAGGGAAAAACAATCATCTGTGTGGGAGAGAATTTAATCTGGAAGGGAAAGGGAAAAACACTGTCTGTATGGAAAGGGAAATGAAAATATTTGACTGAACTCAAAGCAAGCTGGGGCATCTAAAATTAAGGATGTGCAAAGGAGCTAAGAGCAGTGGTGGGACTGACTGTCAGAGTGCAGCAAAGAAGCCCCTCAGGGAAGAAATAGCAGCTGGACCTGTAAACAGGAGGAAAAGGTGAGCTAGAGGTTTGGGAAAACCATACTGCCAGTGTGAGGGTGCAGTAAAAACATCTAAAGAAGGAGCAAGCAGGACTGGCATGGTAATTCAACCCTAGCACATTCTCTCATGGTTATTTGTGGAGTAGACATCAGTGCAAACAATGGCATTTTCTCTCTTTTGAGAGAGGAAAATTTTCATCCTGCCTTCACACATGCATGGAGATGAATTGTCAATGTAATGGAGAGTGGAGAGGAAAGGAATTCCAATGAGCCAAACCCCATGTATAATCATCAGTACTTCCTAAATTAGAAAACAGGATATTGCTGGAGAGTGTCTGAATGCAAATAAGTCTAAGGGTGAGCTGGCCTGTGACCTATGGAAAGATTAGTCATGGGATGTGACTGTCTCCCAGATCAGAGACTGCTGGAGATTTCTATCTCCTGACAAAACCATTCCTATCAGCCTTCCTTGCAGTAATTTGCAGGGAAAGGTGTAAGATGGTGTGGATACTTTCTGACCGCGATGATGCAGCACATGAAAACTGGCCAGGAAATCCTTAAGATTGGGACAGTGATAAAAAAATTACCCTTATGGGGTTCTGCTAGGATTTGCATTTTACAAGTATCAGAAGGTTTGCCTTTTTTTTTTTTCTTTATCCATCCACAACCAGGATTGAATACAACTGAAGCTCAAGTCTGAGAAACAACAGTTGGGCACCTCACATCTATATTTAGGTTTTTAAGGGCTAAACAGTGGGAAATACCCATGTAAATAGATGTTACTAGTCTACATGTGATCTTAAGATAGCACTTCTTCAAGTGGGGTTTGTTTCACATTGTCAGGATGTCTTATTTTAAATTATATAGTTGTTTGATCCAAAATGCTGGGTGAGAGTAACTAAAACAAACAAATCCACCCTGCAAGAAAACAAAGTACTACATTTGCAAGAAAAAGATGAGACACAAGAGATTAGAAAGAGCATTAACCAACAGAAGGTTTTTGAGATGGCATATCAAATAATAGAGAAGAACTTTCTCCAGGTGTTGGAGATGAAAGAGAAAATATCTGGAATATGGAAATTACTGGAGGGGACAAAGTTGAGGAGAGTAGGCTGGATGATAGGTAAAGAAGATTAATACAAAGTAAAGGAATAACAGAGAAAATAGACTCTGTGTCAGTGATAGCACATGAATGGGAAACTGCATTGCTATTGTTTTAGTGTAGTAGCATCTGTGAACAGAAAGCCAGTGAAGAGAAAGAAAAAACAAGTATCCAAGCACAGCAGCAATTCTGCAGGATTCAAGACTGAATAATGGGAAAGCATTTGGGAGAACAGTATTGGTGGCATGG